TCCCTTTTTTCACATCTAAGAGTGTTCTGCTGTTATTGTCATCTTCCCTGCTGTAACTAGTGGTTCATGATAGATGTTGTTTTTCCTCCGACACAACAGTGTGCTGGACTGTCTCCCTCCCTCTCTCCCTCTCCTCCATCCGTCCCTCACCCCCTCACCCTCTCCTCCTCCCTCCCTTCCTCCCTCCCTCACCCAGGCAGTCTGGGGTCTCATGTAATGAGTTAAGAAGTGAACCGCCTTTTCTTCTAAATATAGGGCAGCACGTTGTTCTCTCTTAATCAGCATTCACCTGCAGATCACGACTGTATCTCAGAACACTACAGTGTGTTTCTTCTCCAGATCACAGAGTGGCCATGAGGAAACATCTAGATTCATAGTCGTTAACGTGGCTTATAAGCAGCTGTTAGTCAATGATCAAAGAGTGGGCTTCAAATCTAAGTCGAAGGATTTTGAGGTATCCATGTCAACGGGCCCACATTGTGGTGTGTTATTTCTTTCACTTCTTTTGATTAAATGGATTTCAGTCTGAGTGTATGTGGATGCTTCAGTGGACGAGGAGCTAGTGTGTGTGTGTGTGTGTGTGTGTGTGTGTGTGTGTGTGTGTGTGTGTGTGTGTGTGTGTGTGTGTGTGTGTGTGTGTGTGTGTGTGTGTGTGTGTGTGTGTGTGTGTGTGTGTGTGTGTGTGTGTGTGTGTGTGTGTGGACGTAGTCATCCACCTCTTAGAGACTCAGCTCTCCTGACAAGTGATAAAATAATCATGAGAACATTTGTTGCTTCTGAGTAGAGAGTCAGAGAGAGAGAGGGAGTGAGAAGAGTAGAGGGGGTAGGGGAAAGCAGAGAGGAGAGCAGAGATAGGGATATATGGGTGAGGGAGAGAGAGGCAGAGAAAGAGAGGAAGATGGGGGATAGATTTCACGTAGACTCTACTCTGTATGATTTCCTTGAAATGCAAAGAAACTTCCAGGAAGACGGGGAAAGTAGTGAAAAGTATGATGGGTCAAAACTAATGATGGGTTTTGGTGCTGGGGGGTGAGCAGAGCGAGGTCTACTTTAAGAGGTGTAATTCACAGGCTGTGGGTGACAGCAGGTAGAGATGGAGAGAGGAAGGGAGGGAAAGAGAAAGGGAAGGAGAGATATCTGAAGGGGCTTTGACAAGCTGTTTCTTGGCTGTATAATGGCCAGAGATGTCAGCGATTGTGAGACTGCATTCAGCTGCATAAGCTCTCTCTTTCGCTCTCTCTCACTCTCTCTCTCTCTCTCTCTCCCTGTCCCTCTCTCAACCCCAGCATTGTTCATATCCTGAGGGAAAGAGATTAATGTGGATGTCTTGAGGACAGACGGTGTGCTTGGACCAAAGCCCTTAGGGTCCAGTAGATAGACGCCCCAGGGGTGTGAGGAGGTGTAGAGGGGTGAAAGGGTTCCTAATTGTGGTCAACTGGTGCGGTCAGTCCATTGTAGGGTTTGACTAGAGAGAACTGGCCAGATCCTGTGAACCCAATATGGTGTCATTCCAGTCCTATGGGTTTTAGCTGAGGTTGGGCTCTTATCTCAAGGTAGACAGTGCAAAGTATTATTTTATTAGGTATTCAGTGTACTGGATAAAAGTGTTGAAGTTTAGCTTGTAGGGCTTGGACCGGGAGTATATGGTTAGCTGTTCAAAATATTAGCTGGTCACTACCCAGTATTCCTCATAAATGTGGAGTTTCATGAGCCCCCCACCCATGTGTGTGTGTGTGTGTGTGTGTGTGTGTGTGTGTGTGTGTGTGTGTGTGTGTGTGTGTGTGTGTGTGTGTGTGTGTGTGTGTGTGTGTGTGTGTGTGTGTGTGTGTGTGTGTGTGTGTGTGTGTGGCAACAAAAGTGTGTGTGTACTGGAGCCTGCATTGAGAGAAGAGTATTTTGACCAGACTTGCAGGTATACCTCAGTCTGACGCTGAAGTCTGAACCATATACTGTAGGCTACTGTAACACTGCGCACACCACATCATTTCAACGTGGAAATGTGGGTAATATTTGGTCGAGACATTAATCAATGAATGTCAACCTTTATTCACACTCAAAAAGACAGCCAGAAATGTATTGAATTTCGGATGTGTTAGCACTATGCTTTTAACCATCTAAAAGCACAACCAAATTCCATTGGAAAAACAATGTCTGATTTTTGGTTTAGTTGTCATCTAAATGTGTTATCACTGCGCTTTCAATCACTTTTATAAGCAGGAGATGTATATTTTGTGCCACTGACTTTAATTCCAGTTTGTCTAAAAATTAATAATTGATATGTTGGATTCACGTCTCCATCTCAACCAAAAATCTAAGTTAAAGAATAGGACTAAATAAAGTCCATTTAAAGTTTGATTTGATGTAATATTATTCTTTAACGTAGATTTTTGGTTGAGATGGAGACATGAATTCATTTTCTAACATTTCAATTATTAATTTGTAGACAAAGTGGAATTAAAGCCAGACTTAGCCCTAGTTCAAACACCGCTCTATCGCCGCACCTAACTAAAAAATTATTCACTTTTTCATTGGAAGAACGGGGATAGAGTGCCGTCTGAAACCATTAACTGCGCCTCATCAGACTTTTGATAATAGTTCGGCAGCCTCTGCCGCTCTTTCCGCGCTGTGCGGGTGAAGCACGACTCTGTTTCATGTGGCGCACCAGAGCAGTTCTTCCACTGTCGGGGGACATGGTAATGTATTTTTAAGTTAGGTGCGGCGATAGAGCGGTATTTGAACTAGGGCTAAGTCTGGCTTTAATTCTACTTTGTCTACAAATTAATAATTGATATGTTAGATAATGAATTAATGTCTCCATCTCAACCAAAACACATGTTAATTGCATGCAAATAAAGGTTGCTTCGCTACCACACCTACAACAGAAGCACAACCATGGTCTCGGATTCGCAGCTGGAGGACTTCTGTGGGAGGTCGCTGTTTTGCCTGAATTTGACCCAAAACCGACGAAGATGTCGCTGCAGTGTTGAGCTGCAGTGTTGAGAGCGGTTGTATGAAACCAATCAGTACGTCAAGCAAAGCTCTTAACCGTGCCAGCCCGCTCTTAATTTCTATTCACTTCAACTCGCCATATTTGGTTGCGTTGACAACCAAACACAACTCAATATCCAGTTTGTCTACAAATTAATAATTGATATGTTGGATTCACATAAGAATAAGACTAAATCTAATCAAACTTTGAATGCACTATATATAAAGTTTGATTTGATTTCGTCCTATTCTTTAACTTAGATTTTTGTTTGAGATGGAGATGTGAATCCAACATATTAGTGATTAACTTGAAGCTTACATTTGAAATCAACAAAAGCTGGAAACCATAGGCCTATACTGTATGTTTTGTCTATTTTTTATTGAACCATGGGTTGAAGTTAAACAATAGCTGTTGATGACTTCGCAAATGCTATATAGGCCTAAATAGTATGATATTGATGATATATGATGGCGTTGTCGTGAGGGAGCTTGTTCCCCAATGGTGGAACAAGCTCCCTCACGACGCCAGGACAGCGGAGTCACTCACCACCTTCCGGAGACACCTGAAACCCCACCTCTTTAAGGAATACCTGGGATAGGATAACCAGTTTAACCAGTTTCTGCCCATTGGGGTATGTCTCTACTCAACCTTGACTTTATGTGACTGCATGGATTTTATAGAGAGAAGGCCTCTGTGGATCATACCCTCTGTGGATCATAACCTCTGTGACTATCTGCACTTTATGGTCAGATAAGAACTTCGCAAATTAATTTTGATAAAAGTCAAGGCATGAGTGCACTACATTTAATAGTCTTGAGTAATCGTTCAACTGTGCATTAAAACGGACCAGTCTTACAGCCAATAAAAATCTATGCATTTGAACAATATTAGATTTTACACACAGTTATTTATGTGCGTAATTGTGTGCAAATGGGTGAAATGTTTAAGTATATGTGTCTAAAAACAATTAATATGTATCCTTATAATAGATCATTATAATTATAATAGACTAATAATATTATTATTGTTATTATTATTATTATAATCGTTGTTATTATTACTGTCATTTATTATTATTATTATTGTTACTGTTATTGATATTCCTATTACAGTACAGTACAACATGCACAAGGTCCTCGATCACATTTAAATGTAACTCATTTGTTTAATTTATACTGCTTATTTATGCTGCTTTGTGCGATAGGCCTATGCCATACACGAATAAGTCTAATCCACTGCGACAGGTAGCCTAGGTACATTATGTACAATAGATGGCAATGAAGAGATATGACAACGTCACTTTTATTCGTAGCATGCTGCACTTTTCATTCAAGTTTCATCTTGGTACAAAAATCATGCAGCATCAGGTGCTTTCAAAAAGTGCAAAAACAGTAGGTCCAAATACCACTTTGTACTGTAGGCTACAGACCAAGCCGCGTGCATGCTAAACTGGACAATTAAACACTCTTTAAAGCAGTGATGGGGTTAGTTAAACGTGCAAGATCCCTGCACCTTGAGTGTTTGCCCGACATGCTACTAAGAAACTGGACCAAGAAAAATATATTTTCAGAGAATACCCACGTCCAAAATGTACAGACTACTGTCAGAAATGGAACGGGAAAAACATACAATCTGCATGCGTAACGTTGCTGACGAGTTTGTTTTGTTACTTTAACAATCATGGAAATATCGACTTTTGCAAATAGAATTTGAGGTAACAGCGTGTAAACATTTGTATCACAAGAGTCCATTACTTTGTTCAAGTTGACAGTCAAAAACAAAACCATATCCAACAGCCTATGCGTAAACAACGATGCATTCCTGGTTCTCCTGGAACTTTTGATGTGAGGAATTGGCCGCGCTTGACTGCAATTGTAGTCTTTATTGGCAAACACATTTCGTAAGGAAATCAAACGCTTTGCATATCATCATGCCGCCCCAAAGACAGTGTGGTGAGGCTATGGGTCCGTGGCGCGCGGCTACACACCATTCTCCACCCCTGCGCCAGAGACTAGCTGAGTCCTATCATCACCGGCGCCTCTACGTCTTTAGAAGGTCTCCGCTCCTTCACCAGAAAGTTAATCATACTCTCCGATTTGATCATGAGGTTGCAGCCGAGGAAAAAGATGCCGAACATGACGGTGAGCGATAGTACGCACAGGACGGCGATCTGTACGACACGACTGATGAAGAGTTTCCGCTCGTCCGGAGGTAGCGTCAGCGAGCCGCCGTCACTGGTTGCCACGTCGGTCCCGTTGCAGCAGTTCACCAGAGTGCCGGCGAGGACTTGGCTCCTGTTGAATAGTGCGCCCTGGGCTTGGTCGAAGAAGGAGCCGTTCATGTCTCTGTGGATGTCAGTCTGACAGCGCTATGGCAGCTATGGGCGCACGCGGTTCCACAGACACACACTCACGGCTAAACCCTGGCTCGCAGTTGCACTTTGCGTCATGTGACTGTGAAAACAAACCAAAGTAAAAATCAAAGGAGAAATGTGTAATCTTCTTTTAAATTCGATAATTGCCGCACGGCCAAAAGCTGATATATGTCGGTTCGTATCAGCGGAGAGAAACTATCACAACCCTAACTTGCGAGTCAAAGTAATAAACTGAACACAACTTATACGTAGCTCGAACCTCTCAAGCGGGTCCCCTTGGACATCTCGAAGGAGGTGTAAATCTGTATGTAAGACTACCCTGCATGCGCACCTGTGCCCGCGTGTGTGAGCTTTCGTGCAAAGTCTCTCTCGCGTTTTAAAGGGATGATGAGTTCCCCGTGGACCACACCATCGCTCTCCACGAGGGGAGGTGGGTGGGTGGGTGCGGAGAGTAGAGAATTGAACGATTTATGCAGCCCTCATCGACTGTCAGTGACAGCAGTGTTATTATTAGAAAATGTAATCAATGGCATAAGGATTGGTTATGTTCTGTCACCACCACTGAAGAACTCCCATTAGATGATTTCTGATGGATGTAGAATATGGCAATGCTTTGTAACCTTAATTCTGGAAGATACATGTATCAATCCCTACAACACTTTGCTCAAGCTGCATTTCTCCCTGAAGTGCCAACGTTCTAATATTCACTGCATAATGAAACAGGAGGTATAATAACAGAGGGTTCTGAAAAGAGACTGATGTACTGTACAGTTCAGTTCTGCACTCATCCTCTAAATGCCATTGTGACAGTTAAACCTTGGAGTAAGCACAGTCAGAGAGAGATACATTCAGAGACAGACTACTTGAATTGATCAATTTGATCAAGTTGATCAATCTGGGCAAACTTTTCAGCAGAGAAGTCTATTTCCGTTCCTCCCCTCTCTGCATACTTTCCCTGTGTGTGTAGACGCTGGTGCTGGTTAGCAACCTCTCTCTGTTTTATTAACACGCCTTATTCAAATATCAGTTTCTCCATCTAGTGCACAGTCAAGCTATTTCAGCTGCGATGAAGCCAACACCCTCGATGAACATTAAGATCTCTGCAGCACTATACGGTAATGTAGCCTATACCTGTCAACGAGATGCGTAGGTTTCGATGCTCTGACATAAACTGAAAGCAACCATAATCACCATAATCTACATGCAGATTGAAGATTGGGTATGAGAACTTATTGTCTTTGCCCCCTATGGACACAACCTCATCAACCATGCCTTTGCATTGAAAACCTCATATGTGCCCTAGTGACAGGCTATATGATTGGCTAGACATATTCTAGTTACTGAAAGAGTCTCCAAGGCTCATATTATGCATATCTTCAATGGTTTGTAAGGACTTTTTCCCTTCCCAGTTTGGCTTTCAGTGTTGAGCTTGTGTCAAGATAGAGGACCTCACAAGGAGCCTTAATAGGCAATTGTATCCAACTGTTCATATTCTTCTTCTCATGATGATCACCTGCTACAGTAATATTATTTTCCTGCTTCCATTACCATCTGTTCTCTTTAGTACCATCAAGCCCTCTTTAATGGCCAAACAGGGAACTGTATTCTCATAGGTCATTATCTCTGGCATCCACAATGACTTTGATTGTAAAGAACATTGACTTGGAACAGCAGTGATATCACTCTGAGTAGTAGACAGTATTTCTTATCATAGACCAGACCACTACTATTATTCACATAGAATCTCCATGGTTCAGTATTTCTTCTATTTGAACAGGAGTATTATAATAACCTTACAGTAATTTATGCTTGTCCTGTCCCTTGGCATTGTAGAGTAGGTTATTGTATGAAGAAGCAATGGCACCAACTCTATGGTGAGCAGGTGTAGGCTATCATGATGCTTTCAAAATACTCCCTCAGATAATGTGAGAGACTATTAAAGGCCCCAGACCTAATGTTCTGTATATCTGCTCAACAAAGCCTGTGAAAAGCAATTTAGGATGCTCACGACATGTCTGGTTGTAAGCGGCTTTAGGCTGCGAACTGACAAGCGTGTGTACAAATAACGATTAGCACTTTACACAAATATATTTAATTTTACTTCTAGGGGGTAAATTACAGTTTATTTATCACTGTATAATAACTGGAGCTCAAACAAAGTGTTTGGTGTCCACCAAGCTGGAATAATCCTATTAGCTTTTCTCATTTAGATCAGGGACTTGTAAATGACAACAGTTGGCGGTATCAACTAATGCTGTGTAGATGTTATTCAGTTCATTCATTTAATAGTGTATTATAATTATAGAAACAGACAAGGATTTAAATGTTGATTCCTTTGTAAATACAGCCTGCCTCCCCGTTAACAATAAAGCAGTAAACACACAGTCAACTATTTATGAAACATTAAACAGCAGTTGTAACACAAAGTACAGTCAGGGACTTTCATTCCTGAATCAAGGTGAATAGTAAAGTTCTTGAATGAAGATTCTGTTACTTTCAAACATTTTGATATAAAACTGCTTACAAAGAGTCTTTCACAACATTTCAGCAGACTTTGAAGTCAATGTTTTATATGTTTCTTTCATTTCCTGCATGCAACCTGTTGGTAAAACCGAAGCTTATACAGTGGGGGAAAAAAGTATTTAGTCAGCCACCAATTGTGCAAGTTCTCCCACTTAAAAAGACGAGAGAGGCCTGTAATTTTCATCATAGGTACACGTCAACTATGACAGACAAAATGAGAAAAAGAAAATCCAGAAAATCACATTGTAGGATTTTTAATGAATTTATTTGCAAATTATGGTGGAAAATAAGTATTTGGTCAATAACAAAAGTTTCTCAATACTTTGTTATATACCCTTTGTTGGCAATGACACAGGTCAAACGTTTTCTGTAAGTCTTCACAAGGTTTTCACACACTGTTGCTGGTATTTTGGCCCATTCCTCCATGCAGATCTCCTCTAGAGCAGTGATGTTTTGGGGCTGTCGCTGGGCAACATGGACTTTCAACTCCCTCCAAACATTTTCTATGGGGTTGAGATCTGGAGACTGGCTAGGCCACTCCAGGACCTTGAAATGCTTCTTACGAAGCCACTCCTTCGTTGCCCGGGCGGTGTGTTTGGGATCATTGTCATGCTGAAAGACCCAGCCACGTTTCATCTTCAATGCCCTTGCTGATGGAAGGAGGTTTTCACTAAAAATATCACGATACATGGCCCCATTCATTCTTTCCTTTACACAGATCAGTCGTCCTGGTCCCTTTGCAGAAAAACAGCCCCAAAGCATGATGTTTCCACCCCCATGCTTCACAGTAGGTATGGTGTTCTTTGGATGCAACTCAGCATTCTTTGTCCTCCAAACACGACGAGTTGAGTTTTTACCAAAAAGTTCTATTTTGGTTTCATCTGACCATATGACATTCTCCCAATCCTCTTCTGGATCATCCAAATGCACTCTAGCAAACTTCAGACGGGCCTGGACATGTACTGGCTTAAGCAGGGGGACACGTCTGGCACTGCAGGATTTGAGTCCCTGGCGGCGTAGTGTGTTACTGATGGTAGGCTTTGTTACTTTGGTCCCAGCTCTCTGCAGGTCATTCACTAGGTCCCCCCGTGTGGTTCTGGGATTTTTGCTCACCGTTCTTGTGATCATTTTGACCCCACAGGGGTGAGATCTTGCGTGGAGCCCCAGATCGAGGGAGATTATCAGTGGTCTTGTATGTCTTCCATTTCCTAATAATTGCTCCCACAGTTGATTTCTTCAAACCAAGCTGCTTACCTATTGCAGATTCAGTCTTCCCAGCCTGGTGCAGGTCTACAATGTTGTTTCTGGTGTCCTTTGACAGCTCTTTGGTCTTGGCCATAGTGGAGTTTGGAGTGTGACTGTTTGAGGCTGTGGACAGGTGTCTTTTATACTGATAACAAGTTCAAACAGGTGCCATTAATACAGGTAACGAGTGGAGGACAGAGGAGCCTCTTAAAGAAGAAGTTACAGGTCTGTGAGAGCCAGAAATCTTGCTTGTTTGTAGGTGACCAAATACTTATTTTCCACCATAATTTGCAAATAAATTCATAAAAAATCCTACAATGTGATTTTCTGGAAAAAAAAATCTCAATTTGTCTGTCATAGTTGACGTGTACCTATGATGAAAATTACAGGCCTCTCTCATCTTTTTAAGTGGGAGAACATGCACAATTGGTGGCTGACTAAATACTTTTTTCCCCCACTGAATGTGAAATACAGAAGTGGTATTTTCTGAGAAGCAGCACGTTCTGTTAAGTCAATTATCTACATCATTAGTGGCACTTGATGCAATATAGAACTCAACACAGGTCACAGGTTGCCTATGTGTAAAGATATCAATAGACATGGAAATACAGTAGATATAGATATGTATGTGTGTCTCAGACGTGTTCCTTAGCAACAGTAGGCCCATGAGCATAGTGATAGATGGTTGGTAAAGTTATTTTGGTTGAGAAAAGGAGGGAGGGAAGAAGAGAGGGAGAGAGAGAGATGGACGAAGGAGAAGGGAAAACGCTTCAACTTAGCACGGGGGAATTGGCAGCCTAGCAACACAAACTAAGTGAAGACATCCCTTAGCAACAGGGAGGGGTTTAGCCCATTCCCTCCACCTCCCCCTTCCAACTCCCCACTCCACCTCCACCCATGTCTTTAGAGGCCTTCACACAGGGCATGGTAGCACCTGAACACAGCAGAGTAGAAGCCCCCACCCTCCATACACTTATCCATCCCTCACCCCAACCCCTTCATCTCCACATCCCTTCTCCAGAGGTGCAGCTGGGGGCAGACTTCTTAGGATGTTGATCCAGTTCAATTAGTGTAATAGATTACCTACAGCCAAGTCTTCATTAGATGAACAAAGTGTGCGTGCGACGGGCATGTGTGTGAGTGTGAGTGGGGGGGTCAAGATTAAACGAGAGAGCGATGGGATTAACCAACAGGAAGAACTGATAAACAGAGAGAAGGTTAGAGAGTATAGAAGAGAGAAACAGAAAGAGAGAGACCAAGAGAAACAGAGGGATGGAAAGAGAGACAGAGAGAGAGAGAGAAACAGAGAGAGAGAGAGAAACAGAGAGAGAGAAACAGAGAGAAACAGAGAGTGAGAGAGGCCATGTCTGGGGTGGTGGGCGCTCTCACCTGTGGGACCGTTAATCACAGAGAGCTAAATGTAGTCATTAGTTCCCACCTGACAGAGACTCCAGATACACAGCAGCAGAGTGTTTCCGACCGCTCCGCTCAACAACCCCGTAACAGGCTGCATCCATTAGTCATTAAAGTTGTTTCAGGGAGATAATGGCTTCATTGCCTTAATTTGTTGTAACATTGTCCTGTGTGTGTATGTGTGTGTACGCTCCCATTTGTTTGAGTGAGTGTATCTGTTTGTGTGTTTGAGGGCAGTAAATTTGAATTGCATGGCCTTAATTGAATTAACTTGCTATTTCTACCTCCCATCTCCAGGGACAACGTCTCCCACACTTCTCTCATTGAAGAATCTCCTGGCCTAAACATTTAGGCAGATCTATACATCTCTCATTAAACTTTCTTCCTCTCCTTCTTTTGCCCCCTCTTTCTCTCGCCACCTCTCTCCCTTCCACCATCTCTTATTCTCCACTCTCCCTCTCTTTTTGTCTCCAGCTTTCTGTGTTACACAGCAGGCTATGAAACAACCCCATTGTGCCAAAGAGTGGATGCGCTTTTAAAAAGAGCCTGTGGAGGAAAAATGCTCACCCTCTTTTTATCCCTCTATACCTCTCTCCTCTCCTTTAAATGGCAGTTAAGAGTCTTTCTTTCTCTATAGGTTCTCATTTGAGTTGCTCTTTACCCAGGGACACCTGTTGAGGAGAGGAGCAGTGCTCTCCGAGCCAGAGAGGCAGGGGGCCAGCGGGTCAGGAGGCACAGCGTCACAGCACAAACAACATGTCCGCCATGAGAAGAGCTAGGCCACATCTCATAAGGTAAACCAGACTGATATATAGACTACCTGAGTTCAAACAAATTCCAGGTTGACCCTCTCTTCCATTATGAGGTGGTCTTCATTAAATCAGACCCAGTGAAAAAGAAATGGGTGGCGTTGCGGCGGTTGGTTATCCCAACACTGATATTGGCAGAGTGATTGCATTCTCAGACTCAGTGAAAAGCTTGACCAGTGTTCTATGGAGCGTAGACAGAGGTCAAGAACAATCTCCCGTTCACCAATACCCCCCCCCCCCCCCCCCCCCCCCCCCTCCTCCCGATGGTCCGGCTCACTGTCTTAATTGGGCTCTTTACCCAGCACAGTGTGAGCCATGGAGCATTATCCCCCACCAGGAGCAATCAGAGCATAATGCCAGAACACTGCCTGCCTTCCTGGGTATTACAGCTTATCTATGTCTCTTTTTCTATCACCTCACCTCGCCGCAATTCCAGAACACTGGCTGGTGGCAGTAGCTTAGCAACCAGCGAGACAGAGAGAATAACGGGTATAGGGGGAGAGGAACAGTGATTCAATAAATGGACAAGCTTAGAGGCAGAGAGAGAGAGAGAGAGAGAGAGAGAGGCATTGTCTGGGTCCCACTTCCGCCCCCCCAAGTCAATTTCTACAGGGGTGGCGGTGATGGTGACGGGTAGGCAGCAGTGGCGGCGGGGCTGGAGACGGCCAGGGCATTGATCTAATCTCGTTTTCATCCCCCTCCTGCACTTTTAGAGGCACACAATTTCTCTCCTGCTCCATCACTCCATAATGGACAGGCCTGGGAGGGCCACTAGGCAGGTCAGATTCAGATAAAGGAAGAATACATCAAACAGGTCTACTGGATCCTTCTCTAAAGAAGAGATGGCAGAGAATGGATGTAAATAGCCCAGCCTACATGCCCACACACACAACAAGCTAAATATGCTCAAAGCCCTGTAAACCCTCTTGTGAAGAATAGCAGATAAACACAAACCTCCTCATATCTCCTCAGATAATAATATATAAAAGATCAATTATGAATACATCAGTTTAATTGGGATTATAATCAAATAATTATAAACTCATCCTTCAATCCTCTGGTTGAAAGGGAATATCCGTTTCAACCGCTAGGGGGCTATCAAGCACAGGTCACTGATTCTGAAACGTTCTCACCTTTGTTATATGCGGTTTGGACATGCCGTTAGCTGAAAACAAAAAAAAGATGTCAACGACAATGTCTACAAACACTTTTCTCTGCATTGTTATAACAATGTATTGTTTTTGACAATATGTTTTTATTTCTAGACATTTTTTATTTCATGTTTATTTTATTTGTATTTATACATTTGTTTAGTTTATATATAAATGTATTCATTCATTTATTTATTTATGTATTTTTTTTATTATTATAATTTTTTGGGGGGGGGATATTGTCGAACAGACTGCAAAAGATTAGCAGGCAATTTGAATGTCTTGAATCACACAGATGCTTGCTACCATTATAGAGACAGACACATCTGTACCATTGACATGTGGAGAACATGTCAACAGCATATTCTTAAATATAATAAATATCCATACTCTAACCTATATGTTATGTATTTTATCTTACAGTTACATTTCTATAAAGTAGCCTAAACGTGTATGTCCGAGCCTCTCTGAATCATAATCAGCATTGAATTGTGCAAGAATGAGGAAAAGCGTTCTAATTGGTGATTCACTGGTTTGAGAGTAGGCTACTAATACTACTACAGAAGGGGAGCAGGGAGAGAAAGTCAAGCAGTCAGTCCTATCCGATTTCTCCAACATGGGAACTTTTTTTGACCGACTATGGATATTGTCTGCTTTATTATTAGCTTCTTCTGAAGTTCTTGGTAAGTATTTTGTTTTTCATTCAATAATTTTTCTGCAATACGTTTTCCTCTGCCATTCTATAAATCATTTTCTATTCTAGGGTGCGTATGCCGACTGAGTATTAATTCTACTTTTGCTGTCCTATGTTTTTAATAAGTAATACGTCTTAAGTTCCAGGAAAACTCACAACGGTTTTGACGATTTTATTTACTAAAACAAAAACTATATGGCAATGTATTGCCCTACTGGAATGGAACTTTGGATATGTTGATTCCTTCTAAGGGAGCGCTAATTCTCGAGACGTGCCAGAGTGCGCTTATATTAGTACGGCCACACCTTTGCATCATACGATAGCGCTTTCACATAGTATTTGTTTTGGCCTCATGTTTTTTCCATCATTATAGAAACAGTGCTATATAGACAAGAAATCACTTCAACATGCACAATAGCGAATAGCCTAATAATAATAAACAAAATAACAAAAGGATATCTAACACATCATTAAACCTCAATATATCTAATAGACAAAGCGTTCATCTCATTGAAAACATTTTTTCTTTGAAATATCATTTTCAATTGATATGACTGCAATCAGGTTTTAACCAACTGTTAGCAAGACATAATGTGTAACATCAGAGACATATTGAGTAGCGTCAACATGACACATTTGAGCGTCACACAGTGGTGGAAATTCCTGCAGTGTGCGCCTCTTCCTCTACCATCGAATTGCCTGCATGACTGCTGTTTTACAAAACACTGCGCGTGACAGGACAGGTTTGGGTAGCAAGCGGTATGGTGTAACAGAGGAGGAGAGAGGTAAAGCCTGGGCCAGAGAGGAAGCAGAGGAGGAGGGACCAGCAGAGAGAGAAAAGAGAGTGTGAGGTAGAGAAACAGAACCGTCTGTGGCCCAACTCACCACTGAAGTAATGAGAACAGAAGAAGAAGTGTGGTTTAAATGCAGAGTCAGTATCGAGAAATTACTTGGCAAAACAGCAAGAAAAATAACATTGTCAGAAACACTCAAAGCTAATAAAGAATCAATCTAAAAGTGTCCATAAAGCTATATGATTCCTATTCAAGTGTCCATATATGAATTATATGATTTCCACTACTGGACCTCCTACCGATTCACTCATGTTTATGTTGGTGTGTATACCTCAGGCTCAAACATCTGCACATCTCGAGGGGTGAGCACCTGCAGACAGTGTTTGGCTATCCACCCTAGCTGTGCTTGGTGCTTTAAGGAAGTGAGTATATCCCCTGGGGGACTATGTACAAAAAGTGCTGTAATTTCTAAATGGTTCATCTGATATGGATGAAAATACCCTCAAATTAAAGCTGACATTCTGCACTTTAACATCACAGTCATTGCATCATTTCAAATCCAAAGTTCTGGAGTACAGAGCCAAAACAACCAAAAATGTGTCGCTGTCCAAATACTGTATTCATCTACTGAACCCCCTCCATTTTATTGTAATGTATTTAGATGCACTTTTTTAATTGTCAATGTCACTTTACTGGTTGTCTCATTGGGAATTGCTACTCTTACCAGTGTGTGTGTTGTTTTCCTGGGTTCAGGAGTTTGGCCAAGGGGGCTCCAGTGCGTCCCGTTGTGATCTGAAGCAGAACCTGTTGGATGGTGGGTGTACGGAGGGGGAGCTAGAGTTCCCCTTCAGTACCATCAGTGTGCAGGAAGACACGCCCCTCAGTGACAAGGCATCGGGGGCGGCTGACGACGTCACCCAGATCAGACCCCAGAAACTCAGCCTCACTCTGAGGCCAGGTACTCCAACATAGCATAGGCTTACATACAAACACCCATATACAGTGCATTTGGAAAGTATTCAGACCCCTTGACTTTTTCCACATTTTGTTACGTTACAGCCTTATTCTAAAATTGATTTTAAAAAAAATACATCTTCATCAATCTACACACAATACCCCACAATGACAAAGCGAAAACAGGTTTTTAGAAATTATTGCAAATGTATCACAAATAAAAGACAGAAAAACCTGATTTACATAAGTATTCAGAGCCTTTGCTATGAGACTCGAAATTGAGCTCAGGTGCATCCTGTTTCCATTGATCATCCTTGAGATGTTTCTACAACTTGATTGGAGTCCACCTGTGGTAAATTCAATTGATTGGACATGATTTGAAAAGGCACACACCTGTCTATTTAAGGTCCAACAGTTGACAGTGCATGTCAGAGCATAAACCAAGCAATTAACTCCGAGACAGGATTGTGTTGATGCACAGATCTGGGGAACGGTACCAAGAAATGTCTGCAGCGTTGAAGGTCCCTAAGAACATAGTGGCCTCCATCATTCTTAAATGGAAGAAGTTTGGAACCACCAAGACTTCCTAGAGCTGGCCGCCCGGCCAAACTGAGCAATCAGGGGAGAAGGACCTTAGTCAAGGAGGTGACCAAGAACCCGATGGTCACTCTGACAGAGCTCCAGAGTTTGTCTGTGGAAATGGGAGAACCTTCCAGAAGGACAACCATCTCTGCAACACTCCACCAATAAGGCATTTATGATAGAGTGGCCAGACGGAAGCCACTCCTCAGTAAAAGGCACATGACAGCCCTCTTGGAGTTTGCCAAAAGGCACCTAAAGACTCTCAACCATTAGAAACAACGTTCTCTGGTCTGATGAAACCAAGATTGAACTCTTTGGCCTGAATGCCAAGCGTCACGTCTGGAGGAAACCTGGCACCATCCCTATGGTGAAGCATGGTGGTGGCAGCATCATGCTGTGGGGATGTTTTTTAGCAGCAGGGACTGGGAGACTAGTCAGGATCAAGGGAAAGATGAACGGAGCAAAGTACAGATAGATCCTTGATGAAAACTTGCTCCAGAGCGCTCAGGACCTCAGACTGGGCCTCCTGTAGCTCAGTTGGTAGAGCATGGTGCTTGCAACGCCAGGGTTGTGGGTTCGATTCCCACGGGGGGCCAGTATGAAAAATGTATGCACTCACTAAAACTGTAAGTCGCTCTGGATAAGAGCGTCTGCTAAATTACTAAAATGTAAAATGTAAGGTTCACCTTCCAATAGGACAACGACCCTAAGCACACAGCCAAGACAACGCAGGAGTGGCTTCTGGACAAGTCTCTGATGCCCGGACTTGTACTCGATCGAACATCTCTGGAGAGACCTGAAAATAGCTGTGCAGCGATGCTCCCCATCCAACCTGACTGAGCTTGAGAGGATCTGCAGAGCAGAATGGGAGAAACTCCCCAAATACAGGTGTGCCAAACTTGTAGCATCATACCCAATACGACTCGAGGCTGTAATCGCTGCCAAAGGTGCTTCAACAAAGTACTTAGTAAAGGGTCTGAATACTTATGTAAATGTAATATTTCCATTTTTTTATTTTTAATACATTTGCAAAAATGTCTAAAAACCTGTTTTGATAACTGATAACTGATCTAAAGTACATTGAACAGAGGAATTGTTACATATTGTTTGATCTCCTTCTCACTCGTTCTCCTTTCCTCTCTCACAAATTCATCCCTCTCCTTTTTATCCTTTACCCCCCACCTCTCTCTCTCTGTCTCTCTTTCTCTCTCTCTCTCTCTCTCTCTCTCTCTCTCTCTCTCTCTCTCTCTCTCTCTCTCTCTCTCTCTCTCTCTCTCTCTCTCTCTCTCTCTCTCTCCTTCCTCCTCAGATGATGCCAGGCGTTTCACAGTGACAGTGAAGCAGGTGGCGGACTACCCAGTGGACCTGTACTATCTGATGGACCTCTCCTACTCCATGAAGGACGACTTGGCCCGCCTGCGCTCCCTGGGCAACCAGCTGGCTGCAGCCATGGGCCACACCACCAGCAACCTGCGTATGGGCTTTGGGGCCTTTGTGGACAAGCCCCTGTCCCCATATATGTACACCTACCCTGAGGAAGCCATCAGGAACCCTTGCTATGAGTGAGTGAGGGCTAGAGGGGACAGAGAGATGGAGGAGGAGGAGAAGGAGGGAGAGGAGGAGGAGATTTTGCAGAGGGGAAGATTTTGATTCTGCTGAGATTCTAAAAAGGCTGATATACTATGTTGGAGCTCAAATTCCCTCAGGATTTGTCTGTTATTAGCTGTCAAGTTGTGTCTAACAGCAACGTATTTCTCTCTCGCTCTCTCTCTCTCCACCTTTTTGCCCTCTTCCTGTTTTCGGCATGGCATGGGGTGTGATGTGTAGTATCCAGACGCGGTGCCTGCCTCAGTTTGGCTACAAGCACGTGCTGTCTCTGACGAAGCAGGTGGAGCGCTTCACTGAAGAGGTGGCGAAGCAGCAGGTGTCTCGTAACAGAGACTCCCCAGAGGGAAGCTTCGACGCGGTCATACAGGCAGTGGTGTGCAAGGTGATACACACACACACCTACAGACATGCAGGCACACACACACACACACACGCACACACACAATCAGTGGTTTAGAAACAGCACACAGACTTGAATACATACCGTTTCTCTCCTCTCCTCTTCTTTCCATCTCTCTCCCTCCCTCTGTCATTAGGACAAGGTAGGCTGGCGTGCGGATGCCTCCCACCTGTTGGTGTTCACTACTGATGATACGACACACATAGCCCTGGACGGCCGACTGGCTGGTCTAGTGCAGCCCAATGATGGACAGTGTCACGTCGACAAAGACAACAACTATGACAAGTCCTCAACCTTGGTGAGTGGTGTGTGTTCTATTCTTCTGACTAGAGAAACGTTATGATAATGGTCTTCTTCTTCAGGACTACCCCTCTCTGGCTCTGATTACAGAGAAGATGTCTGAGAACAACATCAACCTAATTTTCGCTGTGACCAACAATGTGGTGCCCCTCTACCAGGTGAGTACACCTGACTGTTATCAGGGTCACCATGGTTACTAGGTGTAGGGTTATGGTACAGTACGTCTTATGTCCCTCTTTCCTCAGAACTACAGCCAGCTCATTCCTGGCACCACAGTTGGAACGCTGTCGGGTGACTCTGGGAATGTGATCCAGCTCATCCTGGATGCTTACGAGGTATGAAAATGTATGCACTCACTAACTGTAAGTCGCTCTGGATAAGAGCATCTGCTAAATGACTAGAATGTACATGTAAAATGTAAGAGACAGCCGTATATATGAGAGTTGGGTTTTGATTTCATCCATGCACAGTCATGCCCACTTGACCATTAACGCAAGTTGGTAACACCTAGGGAGAATTGTCATGCACTGAGAAACTGTCACGGTTTCGGGCCGAGGCTGCCTCTCTTCCTTGCTCGGGCAGGCTTCGGCGTTTGTCGTCTCCGGAATACTAGCTGCCACCGTTGCATGTTTCTATGTTCGTTTGCTTTTGTCTGATTGTTGTTACACCTGTTATCGTTTAGTGTCATTAGTGTCCTATAAGTTCTCGTTGTGTTTGTCAAGTGTTGTGTGTGATTGTTTTACTGTCGTGCGGTTGGCTAGTATTCTACTGTTTGCTCGGTTGAGCTATTCTCCATAGTGTTTGGAGTGTTTTGACGCACCTGTTAGTGCGCCCGTTTGTTTTCGCCTACGTGCGGAGTTCTCGCCTCAGGGCATTTATTTGTGCTTGTGTTTTGTGCATCTACTAAAGTCTTTTGGACTAACGTTCTGCGTCCTGCGCCTGATTCCACCACCACACCCACCTACAGCTACACAGACAGAATCACACACCCGCTCGAATGGAATCAGCAGGAGCCGCAGCCGCACAGGAGACGTTGGAGGACAGAGTCCGGGAGCAGAATGACCAGATCCTGCGGATGGGGTCCGCCCTGCAGGAGGTGATCACCACCCTCCAACGCTGGGAGACCCGAGGGACACCCCCAACGCCATCTTCCCTGCCCTCACCATCGGCAAGTCAGCCCCTTCCCGCTCCGGAACCCAGAGGAGTTCGACTCTTGCTCCCGAGGGCCTTCGTCAGCCCGGCTCGGCCCGTTCCTGCTCCCCGCACCAAGTCAGTGGTGCGCTTCGTCAGCCCGGCTCGGCCCGTTCCTGCTCCCCGCACCAAGTCAGTGGTGCGCTTCGTCAGCCCGGTCCGGCCCGCTCCTGCTCCCCGCACCAAGTCAGTGGTGCGCTTCGTCAGCCCGGCTCGGCCCGTTCCTGCTCCCCGCACCAAGTCAGTGGTGCGCTTCGTCAGCCCGGTCCGGCCCGCTCCTGCTCCCCGCACCAAGTCAGGGGTGCGTTTCGTCAGCCCGGCTCGGCCCGTTCCTGCTCCCCACACCAAGCCAGTGGTGTGCGTCATCAGTCCGGCACAGCCCGTGCCTGTTCCACTGGTGCCTGGTTCAGCACCGGTCAGCTGCTTCACGCCGGACCAGGGGTACTTTGGGGGGTTGGAGAGGGAGTGGGGATCAGGCCCGGAGCCGGATCCGCCGCCAAGGTGGAGTGCCCACCCGGTCCCTCCCCTGTGGTGTTTGGTTGGCGCGGCCGGAGTCCGCGCCTTTAGGGGGGGGTACTGTCACGCCCTGGCTCTGGGGACACTTGTATGTTGAGCCAGGGTGTGAGTTTCCTTTGGGTATTCTAGTTTTTTGTATATCTATGTTGGCCAGGGTGGCTCCCAATCAGAGACGGCTGTAGCTCGTTGTCTCTGATTGGGAGTCATACTTAGGTAGCCGTTAGGCATTCATTGGGTGTGGTTTCTTGTTCCGTGTTGTTCCATGTATGTAACCAGGGACGTCACGTTTTCGTTTTGTTGTTTTGTTCGTGTGTTCATTCAAATTAAATAAAATGTTCGCATTCCACGCTGCGCCTTGGTCCTCCTCTGTTCCCGACGAGCGTGACAGAAACAGCTGCGCTGAGTGAGCTCTATCCAATCGTAGCAGCAGAATCAACCTACAGCCTGCCCATTTACAGACAACAGAAATATCCATTAGCACGCAGCGCCTCGGACTTGTTTACATATGAGACAACAAAACATAGACATTGTAGCCAATGTTATGTTGAAAGAACGACACTTATGTTGAAAGAACAGGAGTTAACGTTAGCATAACAAACACAACTGTCATAAGAAATACTGATACTCTAGAAAGCAGGAAATGCTCAGAGCTTGTCATGCTGCGTCATGCGGTTGCTAAGCCATTCGTCGCGTACATTGGCTGTTTGGGATATTTCAAGAGGAACACACAACGCTAGCAAACACAACACTCCCACTTCAAACTCTCATTGCTTCTAGTATTTCTTAATGAGGATGTGGAAAAGCGAGGCGAAATGAGTGAGTTCAGCCCCCCTTTAATTCTCAAACAGTCTATTTGACTTCCCAAGAGCCAATGTGTGACAGATAGAACACTGTATATACACACTATCCATTTACGCAGAGACTAAGAGTAGAGGTTTTCTGAATCGTTTATGTTTCTGATTGAGTTCATTCTGACCTCTGACCTCTGCTCCTTGACCCCTGACCTGTGGAGTAGAGAATCCGTTCCAAGGTGGAGCTGGAGCTGCTGGGTGTTCCAGAGGAGCTGGCCCTGTCCTTCAACGCCACCTGCCTCAACGGAGAGCTCATCCAGGGACTCAAGTCCTGCTCCGGACTTAAGATCGGAGACACAGTCAGTACCTGTACCACCACCATCTGGATGTTAAATGCCTGGCATAGTGTCAGATCTTAGGGATAATGCTCTGTTCTTACTGCACAGTTCAAATATAACCTGCTGTATCACACACACCTTTCCCCCCAGGTGTCGTTCAGTGTGGAGGCCAGGTTACACGGCTGCCCTAAAGAGAAGAACCGTACCTTCACCATTAAACCTGTGGGCTTCAAGGACGCCCTGGAGGTTACGGTCCACTTCGCCTGTGGGTGTGACTGTGAGGCCGCAGCTCAGCCTGAGAGCCCTCTCTGTAACCAGGGCAACGGGACCTACGAGTGTGGTGTGTGCCAGTGTCACCCGGGGCGCCTGGGAGACCGCTGTGAGTGTGCTGACGGGGACTACAGGCCCTCAGACCAGGGCAACTGCAGCCCCAAAGCTGAGGACCCCATCTGCAGTGGGAGGGGCAACTGTGTGTGTGGCCAGTGCTCCTGTCACACTAGTGGCTTTGGAAAGGTGTGGGGCAAGTACTGCGAGTGTGATGACTTAAACTGCCTGCGCTTCAAAGGAGAGATCTGCTCAGGTGAGTGGATAGATACACTGTTGTATCTGTCAATGAGACAGCCATGTTGGTTTCTTTTACTGCATGTTATTTTCTGCTGAGTTTTGAAACTTTACTCATCAACATAAGTCGACAGGTTGTTTTTGTAACATTCCTTCTCTGTGTTTGCTTTAGAATGTGAACCACAATTCTGTCATTACAATGATCATTTACCATTTTTGGCAGGCCTATGGTTTTAGCAGGAAAGAGGAGATTTCCCTTTCCTTCGAACATGTCCACAATGCCTCAGTTGACCCTTATCCAGACCTCTCTCTCTCTTTTACTGTCACTTTAACTATTTTACTGTTAATTTAACCCATTCTATGATTTGCTTGGCTTTAATCATAGATAATCTAAAACGTTCTCTTTTAGCTTGGCTCTTGAACACCACATGTGGTAATCCATTGGTATCCATTGTTACCACAAAGTTTCTTAGTTAATACCATGTAAATACTAGGTAATTACCGGTTTAAACCAGGCTATAAAATATGATGTTACATGCCATATACTGTACGTTGTTGCCTTTGAAATAGGCCAAGAAGACTACACAATGTTGTGTAGCGATAAACAGAGAATGCGGTGGTTCACAATTGGTCGATGTCGTTGACCTCTGACATTTGCTCAAATTAATTTGCCTACTGTACTGTAGCTCCAATGGATATACCCAGTCTGCTCTTGCATTTAGATTGTATTATAAATGTGAAAACATTCTAAGGAAACGGTACATGTTTACAATACACTTACAGTGGGGAAAAAAGTATTTAGTCAGCCACCAATTGTGCAAGTTCTCCCACTTAAAAAGATGAGAGAGGCCTGTAATTTTCATCATAGGTACACGTCAACTATGACAGACAAATTGAGGAAAAAAAATCCATAAAATCACATTGTAGGATTTTTAATGAATTTATTTGCAAATTATGGTGGAAAATAAGTATTTGGTCACCTACAAACAAGCAAGATTTCTGGCTCTCACAGACCTGTAACTTCTTCTTTAAGAGGCTCCTCTGTCCTCCACTCGTTACCTGTATTAATGGCACCTGTTTGAACTTGTTATCAGTATAAAAGACACCTATCCACAACCTCAAACAGTCACACTCCACTCCACTATGGCCAAGACCAAAGAGCTGTCAAAGGACACCAGAAACAAAATTGTAGACCTGCACCAGGCTGGGAAGACTGAATCTGCAATAGGTAAGCAGCTTGGTTTGAAGAAATCAACTGTATGAGCAATTATTAGGAAATGGAAGACATACAAGACCACTGATAATCTCCCTCGATCTGGGGCTCCACGCAAGATCTCACCCCGTGGGGTCAAAATGATCACAAGAACGGTGAGCAAAAATCCCAGAACCACACGGGGGGACCTAGTGAATGACCTGCAGAGAGCTGGGACCAAAGTAACAAAGCCTACCATCAGTAACACACTACGCCGCCAGGGACTCAAATCCTGCAGTGCAAGACGTGTCCCCCTGCTTAAGCCAGTACATGTCCAGGCCCGTCTGAAGATTGCTAGAGTGCATTTGGATGATCCAGAAGAGGATTGGGAGAATGTCATATGGTCAGATTTTTGGTAAAAACTCAACTCGTCGTGTTTGGAGGACAAAGAATGCTGAGTTGCATCCAAAGAACACCATACCTACTGTGAAGCACGGGGGTGGAAACATCATGCTTTGGGGCTGTTTTTCTGCAAAGGGACCAGGACGACTGATCCGTGTAAAGTAAAGAATGAATGGGGCCATGTATCGTGAGATTTTGAGTGAAAACCTCCTTCCATCAGCAAGGGCATTGAAGATGAAACGTGGCTGGGTCTTTCAGCATGACAATGATCCCAAACACACCGCCCGGGCAACGAGGGAGTGGCTTCGTAAGAAGCATTTCAAGGTCCTGGAGTGGCCTAGCCAGTCTCCAGATCTCAACCCCATAGAAAATCTTTGGAGGGAGTTGAAAGTCCGTGTTGCCCAGCGACAGCCCCAAAACATCACTGCTCTAGAGGAGATCTGCATGGAGGAATGGGCCAAAATACCAGCAACAGGTTGTGAAAACCTTGTGAAGACTTACAGAAAACGTTTGACCTGTGTCATTGCCAACAAAGCGTATATATTGAGTAACTTTTGTTATTGACCAAATACTTATTTTCCACCATAATTTGCAAATAAATTCATAAAAAATCCTACAATGTGATTTTCTGGATTTTTTTTTCTCATTTTGTCTGTCATAGTTGACGTGTACCTATGATGAAAATTACAGGCCTCTCTCATCTTTTTAAGTGGGAGAACTTGCACAATTGGTGGCTGACTAAATACTTTTTTCCCCCACTGTATTCACAAGAAGTTATTCAAATTATTCAAATCAAAACCACGTCTTCTTCCATGATAATTTTAGTGCAGTAAACAAGCTCACAGAACTCACTGATTCTATCAATCTTCTAACCACTCTTCGGAAGGAAGTATGAAATGTCATACCTGATAATCTCTCCCTACTGCATGCCTGCACAGCACACCCGTTGCTCAATCAAAGTAACAACATTTTAATAGGTCCTGTCATTGGATAACTGAATGTTGCTGCATAGCAGATGAGTCATGGTGCTGTTGCTGCATTTATGTATGTGTTGGCTGTAGCTATAACTCTGTGTTTTAACCACAGCCATTCCCTTAGGGATGGATGAGCGTTATTAGACAACCAGGACTGTGCTTATGGTAACAGAGGTTAAAGTCAGATTGGCCAGTCGCTGTTGTACTCACTGAAAGAATGAGATGCACTGGATACCTGTACAGAAGTTATATCTGTAAGTTCTTGATGTTTCCAGGGAAAGAGCTATGTAGTATATTATAGTATTTTACTGAAAATACATTGTTTGATTCCCTCCATAAGACATTATTTGTTGTCAAATAGATAGTTCCCATTAGTTCCCTGTGTAGCCTTGAGTCCAAGGAATGAGGATGTTCCCATGGTCAACCGCTTCAAATGTACTGTTTGTTTTCACATTGTCCAGACTTTTCCTCATCCTTCTCTCCCCCCTCACCCAGCCATAGCGTCCCTCCACAGGGATTTAGACGGGAAGGCGGCGGCGGGGGGGGGGGGGGGGGGGGTTCTGAGTCGCGTGAGACAGCATCTCCTAACCAAAACAGTCTGGCCCTTTGGGAAGTCACCATAGAAAGGGCCTGTGGACTGAACAAGAGGGGCGTCATGTGAACCAGAATTGTTTCCATTTATTCAATTTACTTAAGGCAACCAGCTGCTATAGAATTGTGAGTTTGCTCAACAAAATAGCATTAAAGTTAATTCAACGTAAATTGTAAGGTAACCAACTGTAATAGGATTGTGCGTTTGCTCAACATTTGGACATATAGCTGAACCAACATACATTCTCAAGTTTAATTGTATGTTCACTCAACTTCGAATTTTTATTTATTCTACGTTATTTGCATATTTCCCAGTGTAAAATTAAACTCTTCATGACAATATATTACATATATCATAAGGCCTTTCTTTGATGGTGTCACGTTCGTTGAATGACGGGACAGACCAAGGCGCAGCGTGATATGCGTACATGTTTATTAAACTTTAAACCCACGACAAAACAACAAAGGAAACGAAACGTGAAGTCCAATTTAGAACACACAACATACCTTACAAGGAACAAGATCCCACAACCCACTAGTGCCAATAGGCTGCCTAAGTATGATCCTCAATCAGAGACAACGAGCTACAGCTGCCTCTGATTGGGAACCACACCGGCCAACATAGATCTACACATAATAGATCGAAACATAGAAAACACACAACAAAGAATATACACACCCTGACTCAACATTTAAGCGTCCCCTGAGTCAGGGCGTGACAGTACCCCCCCCCCCCCCCCCCCCCCAAAGATGCGGACTCTGACCGCACAACATAAACATAACAGGGTAGGGGACGGGTGGCATTCCGCCTCGGAGGCAGATCCGGCTCAGGGCGTGACGACCTCTCACTCTCCGCCTCCCTGTTGCGCCCCTGGTCTGGTCTGGACCTCGGCGCGCTGCTTCCCCTCTCCTTCCTCCCACGATACGCCAGGCCCTGTCTGGACCCTGGTGTGGGAGACCCCGAACCTGGAGAGAGGCTGACGTCATGGTCTGGACTGGAGCCGCTGACCGGAGCTGGACTGGGCACCGGTGGAGCGGACTACTCTGGCTCCGGAGTGGAGTCGCTGACCGGAGCTGGTTCAAGCACCGGTGGAGCAGACTGCTCTGGCTCCGGAGTGGAGCCGCTGACCGGAGCTGGACTGGACCCCGGTGGAGCGGACTGCTCTGGCTCCGGAGTGGCGCAGCTGACCGGAGCTGGATCAGGCACCGGTGGAGCGGACTGCTTTGGCTCCGGAGTGGAACAGCTGACCGGAACTGGATCAGGCACCGGTGGAGCGGACTGCTCTGACTCCGGAGTGGAGCAGCTGACCGGTGCCGGACAAGGCACCGGTGGAACAGGCACGGGCCGTGCCGGACTGGACAAACGCACCACTGGCTTGGTGCGAGGGGCAGGAACGGGCCGGACCGGACTAGGAACACGCACCACTGGCTTGGTGCGAGGGGCAGGAACAGGCCGGGCCGGACTGGCGACGCGCACCACTGGCTTGGTGCGAAGAGCAGGAACAGGCCGGGCCGGACTGGCGACGCGCACCACTGGCTTGGTGCGAGGAGCAGGCACGGACCGGACTAGGAACACGCACCACTGGCTTGGTGCGAGGGGCAGGAACGGGCCGGACTGGCGACGCGCACCACTGGCTTGGTGCGAGGAGCAGGAACAGGCCGGGCCGGACTGGCGACGCGCACCACTGGCTTGGTGCGAGGAGCAGGAATGGGCCGGACTGGCGACGCGCACCACTGGCTTGGTGCGAGGAGCAGGAACAGGCCGGGCCGGGCTGGCGACGCGCACCACTGGCTTGGTGCGAGGAGCAGGAACAGGCCTGCCGGGATGGCGACGCGCACCACTGACTTGGTGCGAGGAGAAGGAACAGGCCGGGCCGGGCTGGCGACGCGCACCACTGGCTTGGTGCGAGGAGCAGGAACAGGCCGGGCCGGGCTGGCGACGCGCACCACTGGCTTGGTGCGAGGAGCAGGAACAGGCCGGGCCGGACTGGCAACGCGCACCACTGGCTTGGTGCGAGGAGCAGGAACAGGCCGGGCCGGGCTGTGGAGGCGGACTGGAGGTCTGGAGCGGAGAGCTGGCACAACCCGTCCTGGCTGGATGCCTACTTCCGCACAGTATGTGTGAGGCATCAGCACAGGACGCACTGGCGCAGGATATGCGGGACCGAGGAGGCGTACTGGAGACCAGGAGCGTTGAGCCGGCACACCCCTTCCTGGCTGGATGCCCATCTTCGCACGGCACGTGCAAGCACAGGACGTAAAGGACTGTGCCGGCGCACTGGCGACACAGTACGTAGCTCCGCATAACACGGAGCCTGCCCAGTCATACGCTTCCTCGCGTGAGTACGGGGAGTTGGCTCTGCTCTGACACTAGGCTCCGCCAACCACCCCGTGTGCCCCCCCCCCCCAACATTTTCTTGGGGCTGCTTCTCGGGCTTCCTCCTCGACCGGCCTCCTCCGTGTTGCCGTTGCTCCTCTCCTGCCTGGGCATCTACCTTAGCCCATGGTCCTTTCCCCGCAAATATCTCTTCCCATGACCACAATTTGCCCACCTGTGACATGGCTACTCGCTCCGCCTGGGCACGCTGCTTGGGCCTCGTTTGGTGGGATCTTCTGTCACGTTCGTTGAATGACGGGACAGACCAAGGCGCAGCGTGATATGCGTACATGTTTATTAAACTTTAAACACATGACAAAACAACAAAGGAAACGAAACGTGAAGTCCAAGGTAGAACACACAACATACCTTACAAGGAACAAGATCCCACAACCCACTAGTGCCAATAGGCTGCCTAAGTATGATCCCCAATCAGAGACAACGAGCTACAGCTGCCTCTGATTGGGAACCACACCGGCCAACATAGATCTACACATCATAGATCGAAACATAGAAAACACACAACAAAGAATATACACACCCTGACTCAACATTTAAGCATCCCCTGAGTCAGGGCGTGACAGATGGCCTAGTTACACCCTAACGCAGTGGTTATGAAAACTCCTGATTTCCAGGCCACATCAAGCCTGCACATTATGCTGGCTTGCGAAGTGTAATTTCTATTGGAGTCCAGCCAGAGTGAGGATATCCAACAATTTGAACTTTTAATTACCTGCAACCTGCATTGAGAATGAAAGACTGATTATTGAGACTACCTAAATCATATTAACTGGAACAGCCATCTCAGTAATGGGTGCAAAAAGTCCAACTACTAACAGATTAGATTAGAAAAATGTATGTTATTTATGTTTGTGTAGCATAAGATTAATCATCCAATCAATGTACATGCAAAAACACAGGTATTGAAACAAACAATTCTGAAAATCAACCTGCAATAGATCATGCTGGGAAATATGATAATGATGGGCGTGGTTTTGAGCAAACATATATTTGTAATTTTACTCCAAAGGCAAACATGAATTTGTAATTCGTCTCAACAAGTGTATATACAGTACATTCAGCTCAATGTGAGCAACGTTTGTTGAATGAATAAACCTTCACACATTAGCTCAATTTCTTGTCCTTCTGAAGTCCACTCAATTCACAGAATAATGCTGATTAAGCAATTGGTTAAGTTGGCTTTTTTACAGTGTGTGCTTTGTGTGAAATGTTATGTATGGTGGTTAGGGTGAAGTCAGGACTTGGGAATGGGACATATTTGGTTAAAACAGTCAATTATGTCTTAACTCAGCATTAGCTATGGTTTTGTCAGTGGAAAATATGTTGTTTGTGGGATTGTGGTCTTAGTCATTGAGATCTACTCTTGTATGAAGCGTCTAGGGTTGGAATGAATGACACAGAAATGCAACAGTCCAGAACTACATATTTAGAGAGGAGAGCCAGTGGAGCACGCTGAAGGAGACTCAACTTAGTCAGCCTGTGTCTCTGGAGTCTTGTTGGCATGATGTCATTGCTGTGTGAAGAACAGAACAGTATCAGAGTCCCTGGGCCCCAGCTCAATCTGAGTCTCCCCCAAGACCCATCCCGTCCTCCTGACCCCAGGCCCTCCCACATCCCCCTGAGGGTGTGTATTTCTCCCTCTGCTCTGGAGCTGGGACTGAAGCTGGATCTAGGACTGTGGCAGCAGAGCACAGTAGACCAGGAGTCAGCAAGCACACCCACAGGGCACACAAACAGGCTGGAGAGAACATGAAAGTTAGCATTCCTCTGGCACGCTGCCCTCTCTTTCTATCCTCTCCTCTCTATCTCCCTGTTTAAAGTTCATCTCCATCACCAATACTCCCACTCATCTCCTCTCTCTTTTTTAAATGATTCTCTCATCGGTGTGTTTACAGACCGAGGCAGATGATTTAGACAAACATCCCAAATGGCACCCTATTCCCTATATAGTGCACTACAAAAGTAGTGCACTGTCAGGAACAGGGTGCCATTTGGAATGTATACCTAGAAACTCCTTCTCATGTCTCTGACTTGATCCTAGAACAAGTAAAGTAGAGAGAACAAGACACAAGCATGAACTCACTGTACGGATGAGGGAGAGTATAAGGAGCATTAGCCAAACAAGGTTTTAAGAGAGGAAAACCGGGACTTTCTTTACTATGTATTGATTGTGTCCCTGTCAAAAGCATTCATTTGGGTCAGTGCTCTGTTTGTAGGCTATATACTGTAAAACAGGGTTCCCCAACTGGCGCCCCAAATTTGGCCCGCAGGTGGTTTTATTTGGCCTCCCATGTTTTTGGAGAAGAAAAGCCTAATATTATATCTGTTTGGGCTTCTTGCGGTCAATTTGCAGTCTACAAATTATTTGTAATTATGTTCCGGCCCCCGGACCATCCACTCAAGAAAAAATCGGCCCGTGCCTGAATCTAGTTGATGATCCCTGCTGTAAAACATTAACCAGCTCAACTCAGACCACTCTCATCGGTGTGTTTACAGTATTCCCCCCCCCTCTCTGTCTTTCTCGCTCTCTCTCTTTCTTTATATTTCTGTCTATGACTTCCTCCATTGCTTCCCTCTCATTCTCTCTGTCCTCCCTCCTGGTTTATGTGTCTCTGTAGTTTATGTTTACTACTTGAGTTGGAGGATTAGAGTGCCGTCTCAGACCGAGGCAGATGATTTAGACAAACATCCCAAATGGCACCCTATTTCCTATATAGTGCACTACTTCTGACCAGGGTCATAGGGCTCAGGTCAAAAGTAGTGCACTGTCAGGAACAGGGTGCCATTTGGAATGTATACCTAGAAACTCCTTCTCATGTCTCTGACTTGATCCTAGAACAAGTAAAGTAGAGAGAACAAGACACAAGCATGAACTCACTGTACGGATGAGGGAGAGTATAAGGAGCATTAGCCAAACAAGGTTTTAAGAGAGGAAAACCGGGACTTTCTTTACTATGTATTGATTGTGTCCCTGTCAAAAGCATTCATTTGGGTCAGTGCTCTGTTTGTAGGCTATATACTATAAAACAGGGTTCCCCAACTGGCGCCCCAAATTTGGCCCGCAGGTGGTTTTATTTGGCCTCCCATGTTTTTGGAGAAGAAAAGCCTAATATTATATCTGTTTGGGCTTCTTGCGGTCAATTTGCAGTCTACAAATTATTTGTAATTATGTTCCGGCCCCCGGACCATCCACTCAAGAAAAAATCGGCCCGTGCCTGAATCTAGTTGATGATCCCTGCTGTAAAACATTAACCAGCTCAACTCAGACCACTTATGTGCCTGCAAGACAGTAAAGCAACCCTTTGTAACTATAGCTGCCTCTTTCATTACACACACACACGTATGCACACACACACACACGCACACACACACACACATCTCATAGTGATGACAGAGTCAGATAGGGGGTGGGAACTGGGGAATTCAGCTGAAGGAGGTGGTTTCACCTGAAAACAACAATGGCCATGTCTCTAAGGGCCTGTTTCTACAGTTTACAGACCCCTGTTTAGTTTCCATCGGTAACTCTAACCCAGCTGAGCTCTGAGTCAGTGACTCAGTTTGTCTCTGCTCTTAGTCATTCATTGCCCAGACCTGTTGCTTTAACCTTCATCCTGTGGGAAACAGCCGGTTGCTCTAGTATGTCTGTCTGAGGGCAATCAAACAATCATTTCTCAACTGGCTGGGCTGAGAGATATTGAGGAGGCTCCAGGGAGTGGTCATCGCAGCCAGGGATTGTCCCAGTGTTGGGAGGGGAACAGTGGGATCGATTACTAGTTTGCTTCATCCTGCCATTGTCTGCACTGTCTGGTCATGAATTGATGACTTAATGTTTTGGGAATTATTACTCAATATGGACTCATCACACATGTGCCTGCCTGCCCATGCTCTCAATACACTAATTAATACATATGGAGACAAACACATGCAGATCTGCTGACAATTATACTGAACAAAAATATAAACGCAACAATCAACAATTTCAAAGGTTTTACTGAGTTACAGTTCATATGAAGAAATCAGTCAATTGAAAATGAATTCATTAGGCCCTAATCTAAGGATTTCACATGACTGGGAATACAGATATGCATCTGTTGATCACAGATACCTTTAAAAAAAACGGGCCTCACAATGGGCCTCAGGATCTCGTCACGGTATCTCTGTGCATTCAAATTGCCATCGATAAAAAGCAATTGTGTTCGTTGTCCGTAGCTTATGCCTGCCCATACCATAACCCCACAGTCCACCAGGGGACACTCTTTTCACAACGTTGACATCAGCAAACCGCTCGCCCACAAAACGCCATATTGGAGGCGGCTTATGGTAGAGAAATGAACATTAAATTATCTGGCAACAGCTCTGGTGGACATTCCTGCAGTCAGCATGCCAACTGCACACTCCCTCAAAACTTGAGACATCTATGAAGTTGTGTTGTGTGAAAAACTGCACATTTTAGAGTGGCCTTTTATTGTCCCCAGCACAAGGTGCAACTGTGTAATGATCATGCTGTTTAATCAGCTTCTTGATATGCCACACCTGTCAGGTGGATTATCTTGGCAAAGGAGAAATGCTCACTAACAGGGATGTAAACAAATTTGTGCACAACATTTGAGAGAAATACACTTTTTGTGCATATAGAAAATGTCTGGGATCTTTTATTTCAGCTCATGAAACATGAGACCAACACTTTACATGTTGCGTTTATATTTTAGTTCAGTGTAGATACAATCTGCCAAAAACACACGCACAACCACTCACACACACATTGCTTTGAAATTCATAACATTCCAGGCCAGGGTTGGAATTGCACTCGGGTTTGTCCAGTACCGATTACGTGATGTATGAGAGAAAAATAACCCTAATGTACAAAATATACATTTTTAGTGCCTCTAAGTTAGACATGAAATAGCCATGAAACATGGCCCATCCTCTCTCTCTGTCTATACCAGGACATGGGAAATGTGACTGTGGCTTCTGCAAGTGCGGCTCTGACTGGAAGGGGGAGAACTGTAACTGTTCCACCCGGACAGACACCTGCATGTCCAGCATGGGCCTGTTGTGCAGCGGTCGGGGCCAGTGTGTGTGTGGGGCCTGTGAGTGCACCCAGCCAGGGGCCTACGGGGCCACTTGTGAGAGGTGTCCAACCTGCCCTGATGCCTGCAGCATCAAGAAGTGAGTAAATACACGGGGGAGTATAACTGCCTACACACAGATACTGTATGAGTACATGTGATAGGGGTGATGATGAAATGGTGATGCAATAAGGAAGATGAGGAAAAGGAGGATGATAATGATGAAGAAGTTGGTGGTGATGATGATGATGATGGGGATGATGATGTATTAACATTGTGTTGTATCTGCAGGGAATGTGTTGAATGTAAGCACTTCAAGAGAGGCAATCTCTTTGAGGAGAAAAGCTGTGCCAGAATCTGCAGGGATGAAATTCACAAGGTGGAAGAACTAGGTAAGAACTATTACACAATGTTCCCTTATTGTGTGCTCTCCATGCAACAGATTGCATTATTTACACTGGGTGTTAAAGTTCTTGATGTTCTCACATATTATATCATGTGAGCAGCAGGTAGCCTAGTGGGTAAGAGCGCTGGGCAAGTACCCGAAAGGTTGCTGGTTTGAATCCCCGAGCCGACTAAGTGAAATATTTGTCATTGTGCCCTTGAGCAAGGCACTTACCCTAATTGCTCCTTTAAGTAGTTTAAAGCATGTTATATACATGTTGCTCCAGACTACAGGTTTGTGATATGGAGTCAAAACTGTGTGTGTTAACAGCCCACATTGAGGCCCCAATCTCTCTACAATCTCAGAGTTTGTTCTTCCTGAGGAAACTCTGCAGTTTCAGGGTGGATATGACGCTGATGACCATTTTCTAGAGATCATTCATTGAATCCAATTTAACATTCAGTATGATCTGCTGGTTCGGTAATCTAAACCTAAAGAGCCAGAACAGGCTGGGTAACTGATAGATTAATTATTAATGACTAATTATTACACCCTGAAACTGTGTATAATGTGTTAGAAATGTGTGAGTGTAGGACCAGTAAAGGCTATGGCATTGAGCCACTATTTAGCAATGTGAGTAAGAGTTAGGCCAGACAACAAAGACAACTGAGAAACTAAGATAAAGAGGCCTCCCAATTTAGGGAGGGGAGAAACTGTTATGAAAACATGGTGCAGAATATTGTGAGAACGTCAATAACTGAGTAATGCAGGGAGTAGGATATGTGTGTGTGTGTGTGTATGTATGTGTGTATGCATGTGTGTATATGTGTGTGTGTGTGTGAACTGAAGGTCAGTAGAGCAGTTTTAGAGTGGAAAACTACAGCCCGCCTACAGAGGGGAGGGATTTATTTTTGTATGACGTATGAGTATAAAAGATGGACTCTGAAATTGTGATGGCAGAATTCTCAATGAATAAATATCTCTGACTATGCAGACCGGGACTCTGGCCGTTACTTAAATCCCAAAAGACTTACAACCTTTTGGGAGACGCACAGAGACACTAAAATAGTTTGTTAAATAATTCACATAACAGTAACATTGTGAAACTAGGTAGCAGGATCATTGGTATGATCTTACAGTAACTGACCTTTCTTACCAGTAACAGACATGAGTCATACACAAGGAGCCATCCATTCTGAGAGACTCCTAGCATCCTCGTTTGTTTCCCTTAGAGCATAGATACAGGCTCCCTAGGTTTAAAACGAATAGGTCAAAACGCTCCTTCATCCCAGCTGCTATTACCTTTCTCAATATGAGGTAGGACTGTACTGTTTTTGTATGGACTGGTTTATTCATATCTGCTTTAGAGGTCTAATTCATGTGGACACACTGCTGTTTTATATTGTTTTTGTCCTTTGTTTGTATATTTATTGTTATGTATCCATTGAATTTACTATGTGCTGCAAAATAAATATAATTAACCTCCAGCTCCTCATATGGTCTCTCTCTCTCTCTCTCTCTCTCTCTCGCTCTCTCTCTCTCTCTCTCTCTCTCTCTCTCTCTCTCTCTCTCTCTCTCTCTCTCACTCTCTCTCTCTCTCATCCTCCACTTGGATCTATAACCCCTATAACCCTATCTCTCATCCCAGTCTTCTATGAGAGGAATGCTGTGAACTGCACCTATAAGGATGAGAATGACTGTGTGGAGCGCTTCCAGTACTATGAGGATGCCAGCGGCAAGTCCATCCTGTATGTCATGGAGCCTGGTGAGTGTGTCCATCAGTGTGTGAATGGGTCTGAGTTCTGTGCTTATGTACTGCATATCATATGTGTTTGACAGGGTCTGGATGAGAGTTAATTCCTTTAGTTTTCTAGATAATTATTGTGTGTGTAGAAATAATGTGCATTACTATGTGTGCATAGGACTGAAGCCGGGAGCTGTAGGAGGATTCGATTTTTCTCCCTAGCTAAGAATAGTGTGTTCCTGGGTGCCATGTCAGTCTTTGTCTGTGTGGCTGGCAGGCACCAATAGAGAGTAGAGCAGGTACAGAGAGGGCAGACTGGTTCTCTAAAGCTGATAATACCACTCAGCCCTGCCACCCCTGGTAGTCTTCTCCCCTCTGACATGCACCCAACAGGAACAAAGACAACCCCAAAGCCAGAGCGAGGTGCATTAATGCTAGTCCCCCATTGCAGACACAAATCTCATCCACCCAAACCCTCCCCTCTTTTTCATCTTTCTTTTCCCTGCTCAATCCTCTCTCTTCTCCTCTCTCCTCTTGTTCTCTTCCCTCTCTTTCAGACTGCCCTAAAGGACCTGATATCCTGGTGGTTCTCATGGCGGTGGCGGGGGCCATCTTGTTTCTGGGTCTGGCTGGCCTGCTCATCTGGAAGCTGCTGGTCACCGTCCACGACCGCCGAGAGTTCGGCAAGTTTGAGGAGGAGAGGGCTAAGGCCAAGTGGGATACGGTGAGTTCAGCTATGCTTTTAAGACAAAGCTGCCATCTGATAGAGAAAATATGAATGGCAAGAAATGTATCCATGTCAATATGACACGTGTCTGATTAGATATTTGATATATTGTCCTCTATTTGTTTCCATTTTCCAGGCTAACAACCCCTTGTACAAAGGAGCCACCACCACTTTCACCAATGTGACCTACCGTGGGAACTCTTGAGGGACCAATCACAATCAGCAAAACTCAGGGGTCTATAAGAGAGATGCAATGTAGTGACATAGGCAGACCCTCTCCACTGTCATGTGATAAAGTGTGCTGACTCTACTGTCAATTAAAGACATTTGTTGATACACATTGCTATTGTGTATATTATGTAAAAACCAAAGCATTAAAACTGCCTTATCCAACATTTTGATGTCAGTCCAAAATGATGGCAGGGCCTCCAGGACCCCTATTTCACCCACGAAGTGTGACATCATTCCCATAATAAGGCCTGGTATAGTTCAGAGACCCCAAACCTACCTTTGGAGAGAAATGTGTTATTTTATGCTCTGCTGTTGTTTCAAATTTGATAAGAAGAAATGCGTGAAATTGTACTGCGCACACCACAGCACACTTGCCCACAGACCTCTTTTACAAACAACCTGGTTGTAGTATGTTATTATGGATCCCAGCTGCTTGCTACTACTGCCACTGTTTACTTGTGTTATGACACTGAACTCAGGGATTCACACTGTAAAAAAAGTCAAGTCCAAAACCTGTAATAGCTACATGGGATATCATGAGTGAATGTTGTTTTAGTTAGTGGTGCTGGTGCACAATGTATGTTAATGACCACCAATTAGCAGCTATGGCTATCGAGTGGCGCAGCGGTCTAAGGCGCTTGAGGTGTCACTACAGACCCCCTGGTTCAATTCCAGGCTGTATCACAACCGGCCGTGATTGGGAGTCCCATAGGGCGGCGCACAATTGGCCCAGCGTTGTCCAGGTTTGGCTGGTGTAGGCTGTCATTGTAAATAAGAATTTGTTCTTAACTGACTTGCCTAGTTAAATAAAAATAAAATCTAGCATGTGTACAGTACAGTATGCATTTGTGCTTTGGTATCAAACGTGGGAGTAATCAATTAACTGTTTGTAGCCAAGTTTGCCAGTTGTTAGAATGTGGCTACACAAACAGACTTGGTCCCTTTTATAAATCACGTTTTTTATAAAATAATGCATTTCTGGGACATTGGTTGTTCTGTCATTTGCTTTATTGCATAACATATGTAAATGTTAAATGTAATATGTTTTGGGAATGAGTGGCTTTTGGTTAGTTGATTGGTTTTACTATGTTGATTTAAAAAATTGAGATTACACTCATCAATTTTTCTGTCTTTTTTTGCAATTTTACTCTGCTAAGAAACATTTGAGAAAAAATTATCTGCGTTTGTGTTTTCCTTTTTTATATAACATTTTGTTTGTAATTTAATGAGTATCAATAACACATCGTGCAAACCAGTACAAACCCGATTTGCCATGGCTAAAGATACGGAGATTTCTGCGCATGTGCAGGATAATGTTTTTACGTAGCTGCTGCCCACTCGGTTGCCTATGAAGCTGCTGCTCAGCTGCCGCTTCCTCCTCCTTGATCAGCGATGAACGCCTTTGTCTGGTGTAGCCTACAAACTTCATGTTGTACACAAAGGACATTTGCATTCCATACCTCAGTAGACTATTAAAGCTGCGCTATGCAGAAATCGCGCTGTGATTTCCTGGTTGCTAAAATTCTAATAGTTGGCCTGATTTCAGATTATGTGACAAAACAAGCAACTATAGTGTAGAGAATTTGGACGCCTGCATTCCCGCCTTTGCATTGTTAGGGCGGAGACATCTCGTCATTATATACAGATCTCTGGTTTCAGCCACTTGCGAATTATAAAGGATGTTCAGATGCTGGCTTCCCCTAAAGTACATTGATGTTTTGCCAAAATTATATAATTACTCCTGTCTAAATAAAATAATTCAAAATACTTTACCAGAGAGTTTGACTTAGCCATAGAGGATCATTAGCTTCTTTTTTTTGTTGAATAGCTGTGGATTGTTTCAAATCACAAGTGCATAGTGTCAGGTTTTGGCCATGACTGTTCGGGTTTTGGTCACTAGATGTCCCCATTGCACCTTTTTTGTACCTTTTGTTTTTTCTTGATCTAATTATTGTTTGCACCTGTAGGTCATTCCCTTGTTAGTATTTAAACCCTGTGTGTTCCTCAGTTCCTTGCT